CATATCCTCATACTGTTAGCCCATTATCTACATATAAAAAATTATGCAAAGAAGTATTTTTTTAATTGTAACAACCTTATAAATTTTATTTAAATAAAAATCCTTTTATTATCCTTTTCTTAAGTGCATAAAAACCCAAGCATAAACTAAAGCTTCTTCAGCTGCCTTGGCTGATGTGCTCCGCAAGTTGCTCTCACAATGCACAAACAATAATGCGATTAGATTTGATAAATCCAATTTCAATGACACTCGCACTAGCACAACATTAATGAACTGCAAATATTTGTCCCTCACTTTGCCCCACCCTCGCCCTTGCCCATTGCCCCGCCATGTGGCACGTGGCTTGCGTTTCAATATTTGCCGCATGTAAATTTAAGCTCGTCCAATCGAGTGCAACAAATCGCAGCTCAACAGCATATCATACTTTGCATATTAATGCCACCGGCAGAGGCAGCTCCTAGTCGTGGCGAACTACTCCACGGTGGATCCAATGCAGCGACTAGGAATGTCACCGCCAAAGCACAGTGGAACAGGAAACCCAAACACAAGAGCATTAATTAACTTGAAGGGGAAGCAACTGTTTGATGGGTTTTAATAATATTAAGCAGTTCGATTATATTTTAGAAATTTATTTAAAATATAAATATTAGCATACTTTCAGGAAGCAAAGAAATTATATTGTCATTTCAGTTAAAAAACGAAAACGGATGAGAAAAGATAGAAAAAGAAAAGATAGAAAGTAAACTCTAGTTAAATTAAAACCATTCAATTGAGCTGATTTGGAAACAAATTTATAGATCTTAACAAAATCCTAGGAAAATGAATTCAAATATTAATAATAATATTTGTAAGTACCTGGCAAGCTAATTTTTTTAGCTAAATTACACACTTTATCCACTGTGCATCGCTCCAAGGGCAAGTGCAAACCGAATGGCAAAGCATCAGCTCCAGAGCAAATGCTGCAAATGAAAGAAGGAAAATTATTTGTTTTCCCTCATTGAAAATCGCGCAGAGTCCGCGCTGCACTAGAAAAAAATGAGAGAATGGCTGAATAAAATGTAAATGAAATTGTGTTGGGATTGGAAATGGTAATATGAAAGTGGCAGTGGGGATGAGAAAGGCCATGATAGCGAATTGATTGCCGGAGATTCACGGAGAGGCGACTTTGCAAAAGTGAAATTTCAATGAGTTTGTTGCACAAAGATTTTTAATAGGACTCTGCTGGCTAAGTTTCGCCCACAAATAGACCATGAAGGATTTTTAATATTTCCAAAGAATAATTATAGTGGTTTTGTTTTGGGATCGCATTAGAAGCTGATTAATCCAGTTGGAAATGCAAGCAGTGTTCCTGCGAACCTGTATTTATGAACGTTCCAATTAGAAATTGCAAGGAATTGTTTATTAAAAAATTCTTAAAAGTTGTATTTAATATATAATTTATAATCCATTAAATGCTATGCATTTGTGTATAGTTAAATCATATAAGAAATAGAGTAAGCTAGTTGGAAGAGAGTACACAGCGTGTCCAAGTAATAATATAACATTGTGAAGCTCTCTCTCTCTCTCTCTCTCTCTTTCTTTATATCTCCGCCTCTCTTATCTCTATATGTTTACGTATGCCCGTCTCTCTCTATTTCTCTCTGCCTGTCTCTTGAGATGACGTGTTCTCTCGCTCTTTCTCGGTGACTATAAATAGAGGCACTGCCGTCCCGCCGACCTCATTCTGTTCGCGGCCTCCGCGCTGTTTACATCTATGGTGATAGTGGCTGTGATAGTGATTGCCCTTCGACCCTAAAAATATCTCCTGACAAGTGCAATACATTAGAATTCGATGAAATATCATTTAAATATATACAATATCAGTTAATATTTTTGAACAAAACATATACTATAAGTCTAGAGATCCCTTGCTAACTAAAACCGTCACGACGATAAACTTTTAATCTGTTTCAGACACTTTCTCGTTATTTATCAGCCTTCACTCTTCGGCTGTTTGCCATGGCCACTGGTGGCACTCAAGTCGAGTGTCTCTCCCGGACCCCTTTTTTTATATTTTGACACATTATTTTCGCTTTGGCACTTCCCGAACGATCCCCCTGGTGTCGCCCCCCAGAGCTGAGATCCAAGGATCTGGCAGATGGCAAGGTTGAAAGGCGCATTTAGGACCCATTACCATTAGAGGACACTTTGCTTTGCTCGAAATCAGCCATAAGCCGGCCCTGGCATCCTTTTGGCCAGGACATTTGCATGATTTTTGCAAGAGTAATAAACGTGGCAAGCGAAAAGATGGAAAAAAGAAATGGGAATCGACGAGGGGCGAATGGTGGCGGAAAGGGCAATGGCAATACTTAATGTCAGGCACGTAGCAGGGACACTTTGCGTCCATTGACATGACCAGTTCTTCTGTTAGCCAGCTCCGTGCCACTCTCCAGGCACTCTTTACTGCCGTCTGGAGTCATCCGCAAACTGCAGGAGTCGTGTCCTGGCATAACTGCCTCCTCCTCGGACGGATGGGTCAGTTAGTTGGCATGCAAAATGCTTTATGCCCGTTTCTAGCACCTATTCACTTTGTTATTGATTTGCAATCATGCCAGCAGAGTGTAAAAAAAAAATATATAAACATAACTCCGATTTGGGTTTAACTATTGAAAACTAAGTTGTAAGAGTCACAAGTAATTATACCTAATTGGTTGTCATTTAACCTTTTTGATTAATAATGCAAATATTATAAATGCAAATACTATATATTATTTTCAAAATGTAATTTGCTTTTATTTAGTTAGTTTATTCTTCAAACTTTGTTATTAAATTTATTTTTAGTCCTGGTAATCTCTATCATCTTAGTTTCTTTAACAATTCCCAAATTCTTCTCCTATTTTTTCATCCTGTGAGTCCTGCTAAAGAGAAAAGTATAGACAAATGGAATACTAAAGTGGCTAAAACACGGTTATCACTCCATGGCTTGCCTGCCGTGTCCGACGTGTAATTCGATAAGCTTGACTTAAAAAAAAATACAGAATAGCCATGGCTCAAATGAGTCGATACACTTTTAATAGTTTTTGCTGGAAACGCTACTGCGGCTCGGGGGGTAAAGTTCTTGAAACTTTGCAGCTTCCAAAGCAAACTTTTGCGCTTCGATAAACAACAACAAAGGGTTGGGCTGGGAGGAAACACCCGATCCCGGAGTCCGGTCCAAGTCAAAGGCAATGTGTTGACAGCTTGATGCGACACACAGGAGGAACCCTGAACTTTGGACAGCTCGAATGCATTGTATACAAATGCAGTTTCTATTGGCTCAACTGCAGGCCAAGTTTTGCTTTTCAATTTCGAGGAAAACTCGAACAAAAACACACACTCACTCACACACACATATGGAGAGCAGCCAAAGCAAAAGTTTTTAGCAACACAAAGCAAGACCTGGCAAAGTTATGTCCCGCTCTCCTTGGGGTATTATTAGAAATTGAATTAGATTTCATTTGGAAGGAAGGGAGGATTGCAGGAGCAATCATCATTCGAGATCCACTTAAGGTGTGACACACTGTTGGAGTCAACCGGAAGAAGGGATGTGAGAAATGGTGTATCGTTTCAGCAGGATAAGTGAAGGAAAAGGGATTATAAAAGATTTATATCAATAAATGATTTATTATTACCTAGACTTATTTCTTAAGATACATTTTTTGGTATAATTTTTATTTTTGTTATGATTTCTGTATGATTTTCTCATGTTAATTAATTTTTTTCCAAAAGGTATACTCTAATAGTATTGATAATATTACTCTAATAATTACTAATTAGCTGGAATCACATGGTTTTTATCACTTTATTAACATATAACTATCGATAGATTATATTGATAAACCCAATACCCATCTCTAACCGGAAATTCCACTGCTTACAAGCAGTTGGTCCGCCCTCTTCATTTGCAAAAAGGAAGAAAACTACTCGCGTTGCAGTCACATCGAAAGTTTGCAATCAAAAAACTTAGCTGGAAGCCCAAAATTTGCGTGCTGAAAAAATAACCTTAGCATTAAATAGACTACAAAGTTGTTTTTAACCCTCCGCACCCATCCCCTTTCCCCTCCCTTGCTAATCCTTTTAATTTTGAACTTTAACTTTCGCCGAGGGAGAAAGGAAAATAAGATGGAAAATAACCGAGTAGAACCAAACATGCGACGCACTCGGCGAAAGTTTTTTAATAACAAGTCCTGCAAAAGGACGAGGCAGATTCATCGCAGTTATCAACGGTGTGGGCGGTGTATAAATTCCGCCCTAAACTGCACGTACACTGCACACATTTCCCTTTCCGGTCCGATGCCGTGACTTTTGTGGCCCGAAAACCCGAAAACCCGAAAACTTTCAGTAGCCCGAGGCGCTCGAACCTCGAACCCGCTCTCATCCTTTTCCCAACTCTGCCGGCCAGTGGAATGCAAATACAAGTTATAATAATTTCTTTTCAATTTCCAGCCAAAGCAAAGCACTTAAGGGGATCTTAGTTACGGGCACGGGGACGGGTCAGGCGACGGATTGCAACTGAATATATTGCCAGGATGGCGAACAGTATTTGTCATTGGCCTCATCACTTCTGTGATTTCGCTGAAATTTGCATAATACCAAGTAAACAAGCCATTTCATTGAGTGGGCTGGAAGTAGAAGTGAAACAGGGAGGTCGGGGAGTCGGGATTAATAACTCTTTGCAGACAGAAATTGGATATTATCCGAGCAAGGACAATTTCATTAGAAACGAAATGAAACGACAGTCAAGGATCAAGGACAAGCGGACAAAAAAGGTGCACTATGAGAAAGCAGGTGGGAAGTATACACAAATTAGGTTGGATAAGACAAGACATCGCTTTTAAAGATGAATTTTTAACTGAAAAGTTAATAACATAATCAGTAAAGTTGATGATCTATGCTTTAAAGGCTTATGATATTGTCTTGTATATTTTCGTATTTATTTTCAAGTGTAGTTAAAAATATTGTTAGTACCCATCTTGGTTCGTTTTACGAAGTGCGAAGCAGGCTAGCCCCGGGAATGCTGTCAAATTTCAACTTTAATCATTTCTCGTTCGAATTGTTTTGCTCTTAAAAGTCGAAATCCTTGGCGGCAAATCCCCATCCAGAATTCCCTGATATCGCATTGATTTGCTAATTCTACCCAGGCGACGCTATAGCGAAGAGAAAAGCAACCAAGTAAGTTGAGCTTCCCAAGTTCCGGTACTCGCAAATCAGGCTCCACTTTCCGACCGACAAAGTTTCGTTTCGGCAGCGATAAAAGTTGCCCCAATATACGGGTATATTTCCCCGGGAGAGAGTGCAAATAAGTGGCACAATAAATTCGTTATTATGTTCCTACTTATGTCAACTCACCTCGTTGCAGCGATATTTGTGTATTGCCATGTCAAAAGTTATCGCCCGACCAAGCCGAGCAGCAGCAGCAGCACCCAGCCCTCGGCGAGTGCTTGTGACAGGCTTTGGGAAGGTCATAAATGGAACCTGCAATAATTTCCGACCATCCCTGGTCCCCAAACCCAGCCAGTTCATTCATTTTTTTGTGTGTGTGTGTACCAGCCAGGGTCTCAATTTAATTACTGTGCAGCAATGAATATTGACAGTAGCCCACAGCCTAGAGCTCGCCGTAAAATCGTTTTAGCTGAGCGTAAACCCATAAGCCTGTCAATCGCAAACCGTCGGTTGTATTCCCCCTCCTCAGTGCAGACCTTTTTGTAAAGAAATTTACCAGGTAACCACAACAAACAAAATTGCTACATTTTAACCAGGAATATGAGAGTGGGTTCATAGAGTTTATAAAGTAAGGGGGAAGCAGTATTAAGTTACATTTTACTAACAGAAAAATAGCAGGATTTAATAATTTTCTAATTACAGACTACAGAGTACAGAGTATCTAAAGTATTTACCATTAATACAATTTCAAATACATTTTCATGAGTTATTGGATTACTGCACAAGAATAGCTTAAAAATGGTTTAGAATAGTAATTACCACAATTGGAGATGTAATTGCAAATTCTGAATTGCAAAATCATTGAAATCATTAACAACAAATTAAAAACTTTCTCTCAGGTCTCGAATAACATTATGTTATCCTAACGCCGCTTTTAATAACGTAAATTCCTTCTGGCGAATATGCCATATCCTGGTGCCAGTGGCAATATATGATTATTTTATGGATGCCAAGACCAAAATCCCAATGCAATTTCACTTCTTTGGTTTCACTCTCCCGTGCGACTTGGCAACTTTTAATGGCCTCACTAATACATTTAAGACCCGGCATAAGGCCACACACCCATACTCACACACAGGAGAGAGATGGATTCGAGTCCTGTATACAAATAATTACATGGCAAAATATTTACATTTTGGTTTTGGCTTATGCACCAAATAGGCCAGGGCTGGGTCCTGTGTCCTGGCTTCTCTGCTTGGGCAGCAACTTTTTGGCCACTTCATATTTCATAAAAACATGCATTATGACTATTTTATGAAGCACGCGCCGGGAACTTTGGCAGTCAGGATGCAGGGCCACAGCCCAGGAGTCCTGTGTGCGCTAGGTATTTATTCGAGTTTGCCGTAACGCCGCCGTGGTGCGTGTGTGTCCTGGCACAAAGCCCCATAAACCGACATCGTTGTTGTCCCCAGTCCTGTCCTGTACTCGGCCTATCTGCTTTATGGCCCAGCGCTTCCAGTGCATCCAACGGGGCAAACAAAGGATCCCACATTCATGGCCTGTGGGGGTCACAATTTCATGTGCCCTAAATGGCTCACTTTGGAGCAACAAAACTTGGGGGGGGGGCCCATGGACGCAAATAGTCGTAAATGTGCCCAGAAACGTAACTGACCTAGCCCACGCTCGTTGAAGGCCCAGTTGGAGATTAATAATTTGGTCCAGAATCCGGCCAAGTCGGTGGTCATTCAAGTGGCCATCGGCCGTCATTTGCAAGCCACTCGAGACCATAGCAGGCAATTCAATATTGGAATACTGCACCTGACTCGTCCTGCACACTCGAGGTTTTGATTAGATTATGCTCTGCACTCTCTCTCGGAGTGACGGATTTGGTCCGAATCGAGCTCGTTGTTGGGTAATTAGTTGGGGACTCACCGAGCTGGCTAATTGAATGCAATGCACAATGCATTCGATCCTGGATCACTTATCATTTTGCTGGCCAGGAGTCCTTCAAGTGAGAATGAACGCCAGCTTAGTTAGGGTTTTGATTACTTGAACTGCGTGTGAAAGGGAAATTGCTTAATTATTCCTCTATTCATAGAATGGATATTAAAAGCAGCCAGGTTTCTAAGGAATTAATCTCACACTCTCTCCCATAGCCATGCTGTTTTCAATAATTCAAATATTCTGGCACACCTTCATGAACTATTTCGGAATGATGATGGAATTGGCCGACAAATCGCGCTTCGTTACTTTACTGATCAGTTGTACGATGTCCATGGCCTTCATTCTGAACATTCAGTGTGGTCGGGCTGTGTTTCATTCATTTAGATATTGGGTGACCAACAAAAGTATCAATTCCAAGCTGAACCGCTATGCTTCGCCAGTTGACATTGTGACCAGATTTGCCTGCCAGCTGCAATCGAAGCATTCTCTGGTGTGGACCCACTACTATGACCTGCCCCTGGCTATGCTTCTCGAGAACAATGGCAGCACGGTGATCCTGCGCGGTTGCTACCCGCCGAATTCGGTGCCCCACCTGAGTGGCGGTGATCTGCGCGGCAGATACCATTTCGTGGAGGCCAACTTTAAGTGGGGCGCCATGAGGTCTGAGCACTCGATAGACGGACAACAGTTCTCCCTGGAGCTGCAGGTCCTTCACTACTGTCCCCAGCAAACGGAATACCTGGCGATAAGCTACCTCTTTTTGCGGACTCGCTTCAAGAATGTTCCCCTCAAGCAAGTCACCGAAAACTTACGGTGTATCCGATGGGCAGGATCCTCGATTGAGCTGCCGCCCTTTGAGCTGGGAACTCTGCTGCGTACCTTCGGCAGGAACTATTACAGCTACCAGGGCACCTATGACAATGGGGAGATGATGTTGCCAGTTACCTGGCTTATTGACCCACAGCTTAGCCACGTCCGTTTCCAGCAGGTGATTGAGTTTACAGCTTTGTGTGGAAAGGATGGAAGCCGGATCATGAGCAGCGGCCGAGTGGAGAAATCATTGGGCAACCGCTCTCTGCTGTTTTATTCCTAAGAAATATTCTGAGAAACGAGAAAATATAGTACAGAATGCATTTAGGTTTTTGGAATTTAACGAATATCAAGTATTTACAATTATTATCGATATTTAAATTCATTTTAAATACAATTTTACCTTTTTGTTGTGCATAAATAAGGCATACTTACTCTTATATTTTTCTTACACAAATACATCAGCGATCTCAAAGATTTGAATTGTAAATGGAGCCATCTTTGTATACAGTTCTTTATCCTACCGTAAGTTTTACAAAAAAACACAGAAACACAGTTCGTTAGTTATTGAAAATAACCTTTAGAACCACTGCTTACGAAGTGTCTGACATATAGCTACCATTGCTGCAGTTCCAGTCAATGGGTTTCAATGCTGAAACTTTCACTTGTGCGACGTGCATGGGATTGCGGTGAGGTGGTCCTAGTAGGACCTGGACCCGCCCCCTCCATATCCTCCATATCCTCGAGGAGCAGTTGGGCATTTCGATTTGTGATTCGCACGCCATCGGCAGTCCATCAGCCCTTGAGTCCGGATGCTGGCCAACTACATATTTGCCTATTTGACCCACCGACCGACCGACTGTCTGCAGGTGCAGCCAGGCAAACAGTCAAAGTGCAGGAGGAGGCTCACTCGGGGAATTTGTTCATTTCGCTCCGGCTGGTGGATAGAGTCGGGGAAATGCCTGCGAGCTGCAAAAGGCTAAAACAGTTGTGAAAATTGTCGAAATTAATTTTCAATAAACGCCTGCAGGGCAAAAAATCGAAAAAAGGAAAATCGAATACTGATTGGCTTAAAAGTTCCGCTCAAAATCGCTTTGAATGGAGTAACCAGAACTCATGTTGGCCAGGAGCAAATCGGAGAATTCCAGTTGGAGCTACAGGAAGTCCCGGTATTCGGTTATTGACTTGGCCAGCACCCACATCCACCGCAGAACGAACACATTGGAAGGGGAAGCAGCATAGTTGGCCACTTCAAACGCGGGAATGCCTTCGCAGGGATATCAAAAGGATTAGCCCAGGGTCCGGGCGGACAAGGAAATATTCGAGGGCGAGGCGGTGTTTCCTCTCCGCCCCACCTTGTCGCCGGCAGACATTCTGAGAAGCGAACTGGGAACTCCTATTACGATTTATTTCAGGCGTAAAACCAGCGAAGGAAATATTTGCGGCGAAAGTTTAAAATAATTGTTGATGTAACGAACCTTATAGAGGCGGAGGGGTATGGCCCAAAGTAAAACAAAGGAGCTGTTGCTGGATATGTAACTAAAGCTGAGACCCCAAAACAGGACAACCAAATAGTTTTCACTTGGTAAATTGTTTAAAGTTTTGCCCGGTTTCGTTTGCATGCATATATAAATATGAACGCGTCTGTGGTTGTTATTTCCGAGTGGCCACAGTTCCAGTCCAAATCGCAACGCTGCCACGCCAGAACCTCGAATCCCAAACCCATCTCAACCATCGCACCCAGCTTGGCCGTCAGCAGTTTGCAAGTCAAACAATTAAAACAAGCTTCAAACAATTTCCATTTAGATGCGAATAACAAGTTGTACGTATACTAGACACATGTCTAGACTGGGGCGATGAGTGCGAATTTAGCTGAGATTGGCCATCAATCAGGCCTGTGTTGTAAACAAATCAGTTTCCAGGCTCTGTGAGATCGGGTGACAGACAATTTGTCCGTTGGAAATTGTTCTAAATTGGGCTGGATTTTTAATTAAACACAGTTTCCCTGGCAATATGTCCCTTGTATGCTGGAAGTAATTCAAAGTATTTCTTGGTATTTATTTATTTTTAGAGAATATCTCTTGGCCAAGACTTGAAATTGAGTAAGCTGAGACTAAGCTATAATAGAGGAAATAGAGGAAAAGAATGCCACACATTACTATTAGGTTTAAACAATACCTATTATTTGTTGAACTAATATATATATCTTTAAATCTCTAATATAAATAGTATAACTTTGTTTCTTCAATAATAAATATCTCCTGGTTTTGTTCCCATTCCAAATGAAATGCATCCAATCCAGTATTTAAAACTCATTGTATAAATTTTGTACATTTAATTATTTTTATTAGCAATTTAAATGGAAGACATAGGAAATTGTTTAGCTGTCAAGTCCTAACCGGTGCGAATGTACTGGGTGTTGTCGGTCTGGATCAGCACGGTTCCAGCTGTAATTAAGGCATATTTTGTATTAATTTATTATTCTAATTGCTAGTTTTAGTAATGTTTGACTTACGTTCAGGAGCAGCATAGGCCAGGGAAGCGAACATGGCGAGGAGGACAGCGGCGGCCTGGAAGATCTTCATGTTTGTGGTTTGGGTGGTTTTTTTGTAGTTGGTGGTTGACTTTGGGGTATGACTGAGATACTGATGCCCCACTGACGAATGCGAGCTCTTTTATAGCTGGACATTCGAGTGGCAGTGGTCTGGGCAATTCCACGACGGGGGATTGCACAGGTTCAAAGATCGGCGTAATCTCTTCACTCGTCAATCAGAGATTCGCTTGTTGTTGATGCGATTTTATGCGATTCGGGGGAAGCGAGAACCTGTCTGGGATTCTACGCAATTTAATTAGTGCTGGTTATCGGCATTCGAATATATGTGCACACGTAGCTCACGACCATTAGAATAACTGGAACTGGGTGTAAACAGCGCAGTATGCAATCCAGTTTAGTGTTGCAGCAGTCACCTGTCCGCACCTGGAGTTTCTCTGGAAATGGTTATTGTTGTTGCGCTGAGGAAGGTGTTAAGACCGACAGCAGTCGCAATATGAATTCTTAATTAATTCTTTGCGTGTTTGTAAACAAAGTATTTGAAACAAAGATTTTATTCAGGCAATGACCCTTGTTTACGGAATGGAGCGGAAAAACTTTTCAATATTTAATTATATAAAAAATAATTAATAATTAAAAATTGGAATTTATTACTATAGGAGAAACAGCATGTGATGCAAAAATGTGCACGTTTTTAACATTTATTTATTTTATAAGCCATTAATATGTTTATACCCTTCCAGGGTATTATAACTTCAGTCAGAAGCCTGTAACACAGTGAAGGGGTCATTTTCGACCCTATAAATCATATATATTCTTGATCAGCATTAACAGCTGAACTGATCTATCCATGTGTGGTAAAAAAAAAATTTCGAATTTTTTTAAAAATTTTATAAGGGGTTACATCGTTAAAATTCTCAAAATTTTACAAAAATTCTACTATTTTAAAATGAATAAATGAAGTATGTAGATTTATTAGCCTAATAAAAACTAACACAGAACAGCTTTCCGAATTAAAATTAATGCTTTTTAGGCTTACTTATGAGTATTTTAAGCTTTGATTTGTTTTAAAAATTGTCATATAAAATATAAATAAAATCGACTCAAAAAATAATATTATAGTTTTAGTCAGAAGCTTATATCACAGTGAAGGGGTCATTTCCGACCCTATATTTCATATATATTCTTGATCAGCATAAACAGCTAAATCGATCTAGCCATGTCCGGACGAAAAATAAATTTTCGAATTTCAATTTCAATTTTTATTCAAAAAAAAAAAAATAATAATAATAATATTGTCAAAAATTTTACAAAAATGTTAATTTTTTACATTTTAAAATTCAATTTGCAGATTTATTATCCGTATAAAAACTACAACAGAAAAGTTATCCAAATCGAAATTAATGCATTTTTAGCTAAGTTATGATAGTTAAGAAATATTTATTTACCCAAAAAATATTCAAATGAAAATATCGAACTAAAGTCCTTAGGACGGGGATATATAAGGTTTTCTTAAAGGAATTTAAAGAACGAAAATCAATTTATTGCCAAAAGTCATATATATTTTGATTCAATAATAAAAATGAAGTCTATTATTAATAAGTAAAACTGGTTTTATTATTTTAAATTAAACAAAAACATATATTAAACTGCGATTCGAAATAACCAATTGCAAACTGCAAGGGTATAGAAACTAGATACCCTTACTGCTATTCAAACAGTTTATGTTTTAAAAGTATCTAAAATATTCATTATATTCAAACCTGTAAATGGTTTTAATAAACTTTTAGACATGGTAAATAGGTAAAGTTCTCTGAGTTGCCCAGCTTAAGACATTAAAGCTATATGGCAAACCGATTAACCCCTGGGAAATATTCATTCACGTGCTCAACTTATTTACAATTAAGCACTCCCATATCAGCTATCAGCTCAGAGCCCGATTCCGAGCGACCAGCTAGCTGCCGATCGTGACCCTGGGGTTTTTCGATTCGTATTGGAAATTCCAGATTTCCAGCTGAATGCACCGAAGTCGCAGCCAGAGACTGCTATATAAGCTTCGATCTCAGCTAATGCCAATCAAAGTAGAATCTGATTTTACACTACAAACATGAACTGCCTGAAGATCTGCGGCTTTTTCTTTGCGCTGATTGTGGCTCTGACGACGGCAGAGGCTTGTGAGTACACTTTAATCTAAAAACAAGTGGGTTTTTACTTATCAATTTTAAATCTTTTCACTCTCTCTCAGCGACCCAAGTGTTGAACGCTGGCGGCCACACTCTGATTCAGACGGATCGCTCTCAGTACATACGCAAGAACTAATAGAATGCACAACACAAGAAATAAAAACACTTAAAATCTATATAATTTGTTTTGGGAATTTAAAATTTAGCGCGCTTTAGGACAAAGGGTCACACTGCAGGAAAATACCGGACTATAGCGGGGCTTGTATTTCCAGAATGCGGGTGCGTGCACACTGAACATGATCTCAGCGATCAGCTGTTCGCATAAACAAATTTTTATTTGCAAATTTGAAAGTGGAAAGTGATTTTAAGTGAAGCATTGTTTAAGCGATGTGCAGAATTACAAAGCAGTGTTTTTCTTGAAGAATTAAGCACTGAGAGCATGGAGTAAAGCTACAATTAATCAAAACAGCAAAGGTACGTATCCATTTACATTGTTTGCAAAGCCGGTTTCAAGTTTTAACACATTTGGGAATATTTCCAAAAGTTATGACTTATAACTAGTCTTTGTTCAAGTTAGCTTTTTATGGGAAAGCACGCTTAAGTAAGGGATTATAAAATTTACATTTCTGGGAAGCAATAATAAGCGACTATAATAAAAAACCAACTTGTATTCCCAGTCAGCGTCCTGTCATGTATTAAAATTACTCAAAGTCAAAATATACATATATATTGGTCTATAATTACAACATACGCAGTCTTTACAAGCGGTTTACCCAGAGCCTAAAGAGCAGAAAAATATACATCAAATAAATACATTAATAACAATAATATTTTAAATAAAGTATCCCATGCTAGCTTTTCTTCTCTTAACTCTTTTAATGTTCAGGTCAAACTACTTACCTTTTGGATATATTCCTAACACTTATTCATTGCTTTTCTATTTATCTTAACATACATATCTCCTTTCAATAAATACATTAATTGAACTGGTAATAAATTATTTCCACATATTCATATATTGACACAAATAAATGTAAAATACTGAAGGGTTTTAAAATGTTTGTTCTACTTTTTCCCGTTTTACTTCTAAGGAGCTAAGATTTACGTATTTGTTTATTGATATACTGTTTGCAAATAAAATTCAATATTAAAACGTTGTAAATCAATTAAGAATATTCATGTAAAAGTTTCCATTTTTTCCTAAGCCATTAACTTCTTCAATTAAACAAATTAAGTTAAGTTTGTTAACTCGTTCATTCTCTCTCTTTAAGTGCATAAAGACCAAAGAAACTAAGCAAATATAAATATTAATTCGTTCATTGAAGACTCTAAAGCTTTGATAAACAATAAACACTCTTTAATAAGATTTTATTTCGGTTAAAGTTTCGACTTGAACAACTTTAAGCATTCCCATAAATTGTGCAATGTTGCTCCAGAAACCCTTTAAGCACAAACTCAATTCTTATGCCACCTCTTTCAGCTCCAAGTGACCTGACCCGGTGGCCGGCGACGACTTCCTGGCTGCAGCATCTTATCGCCGGTCAATAAATGTACGTAAATGTGCCCACGACAGGACAAACAGCCATCGCAGTCGCTGTCCCAGTCCCAGTCTCAGTTGCAGCCACAGCGGCAGCAGAAACAATAACAATAGCGGAGCCGCAAACTCAACCACAACAAGCCACAATCGGCAATCATCAACACTGGCGCGCCGCAGACCGAGGAGGGGTCAGAGGGCAGCGGGCCAGATAGCGGGATAGCAGGATTCGAGGGCGCCAGTTGCATTTTGACAGCGGCAAAGAGCCGTACCAACGGCAGCGAACCAAAAACACCCGCGCATAAGCCATGACAGCTGTAGGAGAACGAGAACCCTCAGCCCCCGGGCAAGAGCCGCAGCCGGAGCCGGAGCCGGAGCTGGAGTTCCAGTTGCAGCCACATCCAAAGCCGCATCAGGCGGCCAAGAATCTGCACGCCCTGCTGGATCTGCCCGCGGCGATGGAACTGCGCCAAATTGAGTTGATCTATCGGGCGGAGGGTAATGCAAATTTGGTGCTCGCCTTGCCGCAATTTAAAAAAGTTTTACGTTTGCCAAAAATGATATCCAACAGACTGCGGAATGAGGAGGCAGAGGTTGCACGGCCGGAAGGGCAGAGCGAATCATCCGCTGGAGCCGGGCCTGAAAACGGTTCGTATATGAATGTGCTTACATTGAGATAAAATGTTGCACGAAAATATGTAAAAATGATACCCTAACTAATTGTTATTTTAAAGGATGACTCATAAACTTTGTTAAAGCAAACAGTATTGAACTTTCACTAGCTGAATTTATTATATTATTTTGTTAAAACTCCATGACCTAGTTTCGTTTATAAATTTGTAAAGTTTGATCACACCAAATGTAATAATTTTAACTGTCAGCTTTTTAAGTAATTTTCAGTTCTATAAATCCTCGTTTTCTACCAATTTTTCTTTCCGTGCAAGGCCATCGCCTGTTATTGTTAGCCGTATGTACGGCAGCCGACATTTTCCCTTTTTTGTTGGACAGGAAATGGTTGCGTGCAACTTCAAACACCCAGACAAGCTGCTGCTCCCAGGGCCCAGCTCCTAGCCAATTTGAGTATTGTGCTTTGGTTATTGCCCGCTTGGCTGGATTTCGATCCACCCATTGCCCACACCCACTTCCTTTTCCCTATTTCCTTTTTCCCTTCGCCGATTGCCCTTTGCCCTCTGCCCCTCCATCTCCCTCCCTTCGGGAATCTCTCTATCTTTGTGCATCTTTTGGCTATTGCATCAAATGTGTTTATTTCATTTATCCACATCTCTACCATGCTTCCTCCGTGGTCCATGGTGGTCCATCTCCTCCATCTCCAGCTGGCGACTTGACAATGCCGGATTTTATGGCTTATATCGGGATAATGCGCCGTCTATTAGGAAATGAGTTTGTCTGCGGAGCGGATATTGTTGCCATACCAAAGGAAGACGATAGATTCTGGATAAACGAGCACATACGCGCCCACAGACCGGGTAAGTGCACTGCACCAAAACTAACTAAACAAATTGAACAATAAGAAGAGTTTGGATTAAGACTTAAGAGAAAAGAAATGTCAGTTTATACACATAGATACCTTTAATTTAGTTTTATATTATCAAGTTTTCCAAGTGCAATACGACCTAGATAGAATGGGTCTTCAAGCCCAATATTTCTGTGCCGTTTGTGGCAACAATTTAGTATTTGATCAGCTTTCGCTGCAGTGCCTCCGCCCCATTGGCCTTTGCCTTTGCCGCTGAAACTGCCACATCCATCGACCTCCGCCCTGCATCCTGGTCCTGGCCACTGTCCAAAGCCTTTTAGAGCCACTGCAATCAATCATAAACGAGCGTTTTAGTGCTCCGTCCCGGGCCAGTCCCTTTCACTGACGTTTACGATGCGGAGGCACCCAGGTTCGGGGGCTATCGGTCTGCTGCTCCTTTGCTCTAGTTTCCAGTTTCCAGATCCCGACTCCCGGCTCCCGGGCTGCCAGCATCATTCAGCCCGTCCACATGGGACTGATTAGTGGCGGACGCCATAGTCGTGGCCATATATCAAAATCGGGTTTATGCCCGGCAGCGAGCAACAGGCGGCTGCCCGATCCGGTGCATCCTTAGTGCGCTGGCCAGCGATTTATCATTCACCGGCGTAGTCTAACCCAGCGGCGTCTATATATCAATAATCGCCGGATGCTGGCGCTTGCACTTTACATTCATTCGGCTTTCCCTTTTTCCTTTAGCTACCTTTAGCTATAATTCCCATGCCTGGACTTTTCCCGCTCCTCATTCCGTCTGTTTTATACCGCCCGTTGCAGTTTCGCGTCTGGATAAGGAATTTGTGGGGCCATTCGGCCTGCTGCTGCCAGATGTGACCCAATTGCCTGCCACGTTCGATGTTTTACTTGCCAATTTACAGGTGAGTTGGTCGTCGTCATCTGCTGCTGCTGCTGCTCCTACTCCTGCTCTTGAAACTGGGATGCTGATGCTGCTGTTTCGCCTGCTGCTGTCCAAATAAATTGTGTATTTTGTACAAGGACAATATTGGCATTTTTCGGCCATATGTGCTGGACACGTTAGCTGCCGTCGCCTTCAGCTCCCTGCTCCTGCTCCTGCTTGCGGTTTAGTTTGCTTTGTGCCGAGGCAACCGAGGCTAACATGGCCCCACCAACCAAATTCGTAGCTAAACCCTGGCCAAGGCCCATAAATCAACGGTTCTTTGTTTTGAATTAAAGTGGGCAACAGTGTAAACACTTTGTTGGTGCTACTCGCCAGCTACTCCGTGCCGCCCGCCGCCAATTCAACCCAGTCCGCCAAACGCCGCTGGCCGTTTCGATTCGTTCCGTTTGGTTTGGGCTTGTGCGGTTATAAAAGATGCCGAAATTGCTTTGAAAGTGCCCGCCATAGCTGCAACTTTTATTATATGCCCTATGTACCCGAAAGTGGACATAGCCGGCGGTGTGGCTTAGCTGACACACATGGGTGGGAGGGAATCCTCCCCTCAAAGAAGGCCTCGGTGTTCAGGGTATTCTCCGGTTCGATCATTCCCGGTCCCCCCCATTTTTTGTTTTTGTGTTGCCATTTTTTGGCTATTTGTTCGCCGTGCTCGGTGGGTACATATTGAATTTATGGCTTTGGTGCCAAAGCATTGACCGAAATAAAATTGCCAGCAAAGGAAACAAACAGCCAGCGGAGCGGGAGAGCCATTGAGAGGCATACGTATACGTAACGTGGCCATAACTAACGCCATATTGTGTGGCGGCCAGAAAAATATATAGGGAAAAAGGTAAGCTGGCTTCTGAAAAAAAATAACCTTTTAATTGCGGCTTTAAATGTTAATTTTCAATTTCAAGTTGGAAAGCGAGCGAGCGTCCATGCCGTGCCGACCGTTGGCTCCATAACTCATCATACAATCAGCGCAACAACTTTTGTTTTATGTCACAGCAAAGGCAACAGCAACAGGAGCAGGAGCAGGAGCAGCGATAACCTGGACGACCCCCAATCCCGACCCAACCGAACCCATGGAAGCTTTTCATTCATGGTGGCTTCTTTTTTTCCTGCTGCGCTCGGCGCTGCATTTTTAAGTCAAAATGGCATCAACGCCGGGGCCAAAAGTTCGCGGTACACGGCAGGCATAATATTTCATGGCAGGACATGCCGGCACCTTCTTTTTTACTCCATTTACTCCCGGGAACCGGTACCGGGATCAGGACACAGTGTGAAGGAGCGAGAGCAAATAAACGAAAACGATATAATTTTGCAGGCACAGGGCACAACAGGAGATGGAAACGGAACAGGAGCAGTCAGGACCAAGGAGTCAGGAGGAGGAGGAGGAGGGGACAGGAGAGGCGGTGTCCGTCGTCTGGGCGATACATATGCCATCGAAATAAAACCCAAACAAGGATGGCTCCAGTTGGCAAGTGATGTCAACGATTTATTTGATTTAATGCCAGCAGAAGCAGAGACAAAGCCAAACAGAGACGGTGAGGCCAAAAAGGACAAGCATCGTCCAGAGGAGAAGCTTAAGGATCGGGACAAGTGCTGGTGTCGCTATTGCAGCATGCAACTGCTGAAGGTGAGTGAGGGAGAGAGAGTGGCGATAACGAAGGTCGTTTTAGTTCTTCACATCCACTACCTTCGACAGCTGCACAATGGGAAAATCAAACGTTTGGGCCACTACTGTCCGCTGGAGCTGTTCTCAGGGTATGTCATCGAACCCCCTAGCGCCGAACAATGAGCACGGAACCAGGAGCATTGTGCCGGACGGACAGCGGAGGCCGCTCCTTTGGCACGAACACCGAGTCATAAATTTCAATCTGCTCCATTTGCGTGTCCTGTCGTGCTTCATAATTCCAACACTTTCGGTTACTGTTTGCCACTCCTTCTGCGTTAGTGCAGTGCTTCTTTTTTTTTTGCCCACCTCTGCTGGAGGCAGGCAGGCAGGACCCTGAACAGTCCGGGTCTCCAGGACTCCGGGTCTTGGTCCACTTCAATTGCAATCCCAATTCCAGGCCCGCTATACTCATTCGTTTATTTGCGGCCCGCTGTTTCAAGTCATGCGTGCATCCGTGCACAAAATTCAATTTGCTTGCGCTTTCATTCCGGTTTACCGCCTGCTCTTTTCCCGCTTTTCTTTTTTTTTGTATATTTTTTTTGGCCCGAGCTCCTTCCTACAGCCTCTCGAATATTGTTGCCTTTGTTTTTGGGCGGCAGCATCTTCCATATATCCATATACATCAGTTTTAATAGTATTATTCATAAGTACACTACGTGACGAAATTATTCAATCTACTCAGCAAAATTCGGGACTCAAGGCTTACTATTTCCACTTATTTAGCATTCTTATTTGATAGTGGTTTCCTTTTAAAAGTTTATAATTTCCATAATTTCTTAGTAATTCATTTATTTTCAACTTTAATAAATGGCTATGCAGTCTATATATATTATTTCTTTGTACCTCAGTGTTCTTTTCGAACTTTAATTATATAAAAATAATATAAACTTAATTAAGATAATTGATGTGAGAAGTAGAAGCAGGATTTGGTAGCTTAAAAGTCGGGGCTGTGGGCTCAACTGCCTTAACGCAACATATAGGACAGTAAACATATAAATATATTACATTTTTTCATCCAGCTTTACTATTATTTCCCTCACTGTATGAGAGGCACTGTGCACTGATGTATTTTCATTGGTTTTTCTCTGCTTTTAGTGCACCCAGTCGTATGCTCGATGCCTTGAATGCACTTTTCGCCTGCCCGCAAAATAATTTACGTGTATTTCAGAACGGCAATTTAATTTATGGCGATCACGCGAATTCGATTTCCTTCGACGAATTGAACTCGCTTGTCTTTCCCGGGTAAGTCAGACAGGCTTTTAAATAAATATTTTTATACCAAAGAGAGGAGAAGTGCGAATATTTTAAGAGAATTTGATCATGGACAACCTGGGAAAATGTAAATGAAGCACTACGAACTATCTTAGCCTTTGTTATAATTACTTTTTGTCCCGCTTGTTTCCGGTCCTACATAAATTTCCTTAGCTAGTGAAAAAAGTAACCGGGAAACTCCCAAACAATTCCGGGCAACACGCAAATATTCAATAAATAATGCAAGAAGCAACAGCCAAACACAAATTCTCGAGTGCCAAATGCCAACATCGCCATTTTCCCGGCTGCATTCCATTTCTCTCTCTCTCTCTCTCTCTCTCTACCTGGTTTTCAACTTTTTCTTATGCTTTCCACCATCCCCACCCCATTGGCTATGTTTTTCCATGGCCATGTCGCTTCAACACCTTTTGGCACAACGTTGACAACGCCGACGACGTCCACACGAAATGGGAATGCGCATTGAAAATGCTAACAAACAAAATTTCACCAATGCCACCGCCACCACCATCGTCGCCATCGCCATCGCCATAAAATCTCTGAAATTCTCCAGTGAAATTATGGTGCTTATAAAACATTTGCTGGTTGCCTGTCTGCTAAGGGAATATAAGGTAAGTCACACTGAAAATAATACCCCCATACTGTAGTTCTTTTGAACTTAGATTTCCAATGTCTTTAGCTTCTACCACAAAACCCCTTTACTCTTTACTATCGTGTGTGTTTGTTTAAAACTTTAAACATAAATATAATAATACCTATAAATAAATAAATGTTATTTTTCTCGGTGCAGCAAGAGGAATCTAAAGCAACAGAGAGCCCCAATCAGATACAGAGCCACGAGCAAGAGCATCTGCAGCTGAATCAGATTCGCGTTTCAATTGCGGCAACGGAGACAAAAGCCGGAGCTGCTGAAATTGGCGGCGCTAATGTTGTCATGCCGTCCGGAGCCAGGACCGTTGTCACTGCTGCTGGTCAATACTCGACCCGTACACGACCAGCTGCCGCAAGAGCAGCGGCAGCGGCAACGACCCAAAGGTACACAAAGCTGGCCAGAATGGAGGCAACAACACCGGCCACGGTCGTTGGAGTAACATCGAGAAGCCAACTGGCCGGCAATGTGTTGGCAGTGGCCACTCGAACGGAAACAAAAACGGAAACGGAAACACAGCCAACTCCAAGTACGAGTCGGCATGGGAAGCTGCATCAGAATGAGACCGAGAAAGTCCGAAATAGGAATGAGAATGAGGCTGCGAATCAAACTCAAGCACAAATCAACAAAGCGGAAATATTTAGCTTACCAAAAAATTGTGTGCTGCAAAAAATTTTGAATTTGCAATTGCTGGTGAAGGTAAGCCAACCAATCAACCAAGTTCTGAGCTCTCCGCAGTCCGTCTGTCTTTGTTTGGGTTTCCCAGCCAAAGAAGACGCCAGGCAATTGAAGATAGCTTTTACGTTGGTTTTTTATACCCTTTGCGAAAGTAGTATTGCATATGTTTCGAGTCAATTTTTGTTAAAGCTTGTAAAGAAAGATGTTTCACTTTTAAAGAACGTTTCTAAATCTTCCAATAACCCATGACTTCAATGATTTTAATTGCTTTTTAAAAGTGTATTCAATGCTTCGGTCCCCCAAGTTTACATTTCTGCTCAGTTTTTTTTCCCCAAAAATGCTCAGGTGAGTAGTTGAAAGTTGAAAGTTTACTCGAAGAGGCAGCTAGTGGCTGCAAAGTGGCTTTGTCCATGGAGAGATTGAGAATGAGACAGAGTAACATTTCTTGGCTTTTGCAGGAACAATTCACCTTCATGTGGCAATCCGGATATGCTCGCCCCACCCAATCCCCGCCCACTTACAATGCGCTGCGAAACCTGCTGGCCACCGCCGGAGTGGCAAAGGAAAAGGAGCAGCTCAAACCGGATCTAGAGCAGGCTTACATGCTGGGAGCCACGGCCCTGGATTGCTCGATAATGTTGACGTTTCAGGAAATCGAAATCGAATCCAAACCCGATTGTCCCGATGGCCAGAGGTAAGTTTTATCCACACAATGCCGCTGCCATCACTAATCGAATTCCAAATCTTCCGCAGCATGGACGCTCTGCAGCCTTGGTGTGTCTCCCTGCTGGGTCATCACTTTCTAACTAAACTCAGTGTCCTCGATTTGGACCCCAAGCCCGACAGTCACTTTCATAAATTCATAAAGCAGACACGTGAAATTGAAAAGTGCCGTCGAGCATTAAATTAATTAATAAACTTTACGCCCAACTAAAAGCCGCACGCATCGACTGTCGGGCTCACAAAACTGTGCTACAGTTTTCCCTTCCATATGCATTCAGTTAGATTTTTGAGTTCTTTTCATACCCGTTCATCGCAGGATTAAGGGTATGTTTTACTTGTTTGTGAGCTTGTATCTGTGCGGATAATATTTACATAGTGGAGTTTTCAGGTTAACTTCATGTTAATTGGATGTAATCTGAAATAATTCTAGTTTTACCAGGCATCGTCAAAGGATTTTCGTTGAATTCAAATGGGGAAAGTGCCTAAAATTGCTTAACTAAAAACTAAAAGGGATAAATGTAACATTTTGTAGTGTATTCGTAAAGTAAGGGCCTGTAGGATAATTTTCTAAATACAGTCTTTGGTTTTAGCGACTTTACAATGAAACTATTATGAGAAAGGACTGTTTTCATATCGAATTCAAATGTTAACTATTACCTTAATATGATTATTTGAAATCGAGTACATATTAAATCATCGGGTGGTACTCCCTATTCGTTAGATCGTCACAGTTTTGCTTAGTTTTTCCACATTTTTTGTTTATTTTCGCGTTTTTACTTTCCTGGGCCGCACCTCTAAAAACGATTTTCCCGCAGCTTGACAGCGCAAAAGGCAGCCGCGGCAAACAAACCACAGGATACGCGGCGCTGTCCTCGCTACGGCAGGAGGAGCTGCGAGCTAGGGCATAGTTATGGGGGCATGGCAATGGAAGTGGGAATGGGAAATGGCACGCCAGAACACTCCTTAATTAATTTCCATGCGAATGCGGGCGCCATGCGCTGCCTGGGCGCCGCAGGATGTGTCCGGAGCCGTGGAACCACGGAGCTATGCAAAGTTATAGCCGGTCCGCCCGCGCACTTTGCGCCACAGTGTCAGTCGCCATTCACGCTCGGGACTAACCAGTTTGGCCAGCAGCTACATTTACGCGAAAAACTAAACAAAATAAAAACGGTCAGAAACGATGGGCAACAAAGTTGTGACATTCACCGAACAGCAGTTGGACGACTACCAGGTGAGCTATCAATCAGTCAAAGTTAACGATCTCATTGCTAATTTGGTTTCATGCATTGCAAACGCTGCTCCCGCCCCCACAAATCGGAAAGGATTGCACATTCTTCACGCGCAAGGAGATCCTGCGGTAGGCCATTTGTATTTCTGTAATAAGCCAAAACTATTTCATTTCATATGGCGGCAGACAAAGACCGGCGCAGCATTGTTCCCAGCATCCTTTTGTTTGCCACTCGGCGGGAACAAAGAGCAGGAAATGGAAGAAAATACTCACACGACAGGCCACAGACAGACGCTCGGGACACAAAGGCTTCCATCGCCTCTATCGCCCTCTCATCCGCCACATCACATTATCCATACCCTCTCCGAGGGGATCACAATTTCGACTGTATCCAGATTTCGATTCAGACATAAAAAGCTTTCCATTGGAAAAGTTCATTTGGAGGGTTTCTTTTTCGCAAGAGGTCGATGCAAGTGCCCAAACTATTTATGTAAATTTAAAAAGAAACTATAGAGAAATGTTTTAAACAATATGAAAATTCTGAAGAATGTTTCTTATATCTTATCTTAATTGTAATTTTAAGGACATTAACTTTTAGTCTTTTTTGTAGTTTAAGAAACTAGACTTAAATTCGTATAAAATTTAACTTGTGCCTGGACAAGAGTATTTACTTATTCGGTATCCAAAACTAAAACCCATCATTTTGTATTTTTTTTCTATACATTTCAGCGTTCATAAACGATTTCGTGAGCTGAGACCGGATTTGGTGCCTCGCCAAATGACCGAGGGTCAGGCCTCGAGTGTCAAGGTTCCCTGCGAGTGCATCGAGAAGATGCCCGAGTTGCGTGAGAATCCCTTTCGCCGGCGTATCTGTGCGTAACAAAGGACTCCCAAAGCCGTGCATAAGCAAAGCAAAACACTATAGCAATTTTTGGCCATTCCACAGGCGAGGCCTTCTCACGCGATGGCCAGGGCAATTTATCCTTTGAGGACTTTCTCGACGCCCTCTCCGTCTTCAGCGAGCAGGCGCCGAGGGACATTAAAGTTTTCTACGCTTTCAAGATTTATGGTAAGTTTTCTCTAATACTACTCTATACTTTGGCCTTGTTGTCCTGTTTTTTGTTGTGACCAGTGTTGGGAAATAGGTAATATGTTAATAATAATAAGAAAAGGAATAGCTATTTATTATTGTTATCATACTTCAGGAAGTCCTTGAGCATAAGCCTATTTTAGATGTTTTATCTTTACAGAAATATAAAGCGCTTAAGGGTAACCAAAATAATTAAATAATCTTTTTTATTTAGATAGCTAGATATCTAGATAAGTTAATGTTTATTAAAGACCTTAAACATATGTAGGTTTAAAGGCTTTTTCAGAAAAACAGGACGCCGCTTTATAAAGATAAAATCTAAATTGCTTGATTAAGATCCTTTTTGTACGTATCTCTTTACGACTTACCAACTACCTACTACCATAATACCTGACATCACTGTCTGTGGTATAGGCCTTCCTCTCCAAACTCCATCTTCAGCTGCAGTTTCAGCTGTTGGCCAGCATTTTGAGCTTTTGTTTATGCATTTCCGCAGACCCTGTTTATTGTCTTTGGTGTAACATAGTTTGCCTCTGTGCCGGCTGCGTGTGAGTGAGTGCTTGCTGGTCCTCTTGTGTCTCTGGGAAGTGGAAAAAGCCTGGGAGGCAGTGAGGAACAGTGAGGACCTACGCAGCGTGACCCGCGACTCGCCAATTTTGTGGCGCCGTGCCAGGCAACTATTGTTGTTTAGGGCCACGGTGACTGCAGGGCCAAAGTTCAAGGACAGCCATAAATTCTAATAAGCATTTTAATTGAAATTTAAATTAGAGTACCGAAAATGTCACCATAAATGGGCGAAAGTTTTCGTGCAAATTGATTGTGCACTTGGCACTCGAAATTAATGGGCCACAATTCCACAGAGAATGGGGCCGGCAATCGATGGGATGCAAAGTATCTCTCAGCTCGAGTGCAGTTCAAAATTTTTGCTAAACTAAACTAGTTTCGACAGAGAGAGAGAAGGGCTCCTATACTTTATTTCAATGTGCATTATTAGATTGACACAAATTGAAACGTGCAGCAGGCGATTACCTATGCCACACATACAAAAGTACGAGGACACAAACGTGGCAGGCAGCTAGGCAAACTCAGTTTGGCACACATCACTTGACTTTTGTGCAAGAAAATGTCAAGTTCTGTAAGGCAGCTCGGAAGGTTGGCCGCCCCCTTGGCACTTGTGTGTACTTATGTCTGGCATAACTTTGCAGATTTCGATCAGGACGGCTTCATCGGGCACGCTGACCTCATGTCCTGCCTGACGACAATGACCAAGAACGAGCTGAGTCCGGAGGAGCACCAGCAGATTGCCGACAAGGTAATCGAGGAGGCCGACGTCGATGGTGATGGCAAGTTATCAATTTTGGAGTTCGAGCACGTTATACTCCGGGCCCCCGACTTCCTCTCCACCTTTCACATCAGAATATAAAATTGCTCGGTCTCGCCTGCAGACAGTACACAGAGAAATGTCGCAGAAAAAGGGTCCTCGATTTGGAAGTTTTCTCTTTTAAAATTGTTTGTATCCAGGAGGCTTCCTAAATAAATAATATTTGGGACTGTTGCTAGGTATTATTATTTTTAAAGTGTTCTAAAACGTTTTAAATATTATGGAAATTGGGAGTGATATCTACAAGAGCCTAGGACAATCAGCTAAAGAAATATTCACAAGAGTCGTGTCCATATTTTTCTCTCTGTATTGCTTTTATTATTTAATTGTTTATGTTTTCTCGCATCGAATATACATAAAAGTGCCATCAGTGTGATTAAGTTGGCTCTCCGGCTGCAGCCCCTGGGGTTCTGGGTTTGGCTACCGGGATCGGGGCTCTGCGGGTCCGGACTCTGGTTACGGGTTCAGCTGCAGGGGACTCCACGGGCCAATTGTCCTGACAATGTGCATGTCAAATGTCAGTCGAGCATTATAAAATTTATAAGCCCATGCATGCAGTCGGGTTGAATTTCGTCCTGCTCCGGCTCCAGGTCTTGCTCCTGCTCCTGCTCCTTTCTGACCCCAATCAGACGGACTGGGCCACGAACTGGTGTCACGGCCAATGGAAATCGTCCTGCCCTGAGGTCCTGGCACTCTCACACTCACACACTCTCATTCGTGCGCACCACACAAACTGGACCGTTATCAGGGTGCGAGTGTGTGTGCTGTGCACTGTCAAAGTTTTATCAATTTTGCCAATTTTCAGCTTAAACTTGTTTGGCATTTGAGCATCTGCCTGGCGCTTCAATCCCATTCAATTATTGTAATTGCATCTGCAAGGGGACATGGAGCAAAGGCTAAGGAGTGTCCGGCTCCAGGGAAATTCTCGACTTATTAAAAAAATATATACATATATGCAGCCTGCATGGCCATCAATTGTTGTCATATTAGATATTCTGGTAACTGAATGGCTTTATAAATACTTGTGAGTAGGATGAATGATATTGCTATAAATTGCAAATTAAATTATTTTTTAATACTATTTTAACTCTGAATAATAATTTGGTAAAAGGAGTATTTAAGCATCTCAGGGATTGATTTAGAGTTGGGGTATTTTAAGCTGTTACTCAGTTCTGTGACTGCAAATATCGTAATATATTTATTATGCTTTTATCTCTTTCTTCTCCTTTATTTATTTTGGTTCTTTGTTAGGATAATCTCTTTGAAAATGAATATGAAAATTGTAACCTGACTTTATTCACTTTAATATCTAAAATAATTTGAGAAAGACTTTTAGATAATTACACAATAGTCACCGATGAGTGGGATTATTTTCGATTTCCTTTTTTTTCAGAAAGCCAACTGAAATCAATTAGCCACTTAATCGGAGCACGCAACCAGTCACTTCATGAACTAGTTTTTATTCAACCTCAATGCCATTGTTATGCAAATCACGTTCAATTTTTAATTTAGTTTACTATTTAATAATACGCATAATTACATACATAGTAATTGTTTTTCATTTTTTGTTTAGTTGGATTTAAATTTAGGCTTAAACGATACAAGAAAGTCTATTACAAGTATGCCATAATCGTATGCATGTATATATAGTTGTATTCGTATTGGTATAATTTGTAATTGGTAATCGTAAAAGTAATCCATGGGATGCGTGCATTCTGAAACGGTTTCGTGTTGAGAATTGAGCTGCATTTGCTGCATTTTGCTATTTCTGGTCTCTCGCTTGATATTCTATGGGGTTATATGGGTCGTATCTCTGTTGGATTTGGGGGATAGATAGCAAACGGAGTGGAACGGAGGTATACTGCCTATACACAAAAACAACAACACTTACATGAGAATAGATCTACTTACATACACGCCTAGGCATAAATACGCTTACATACGTACGAGCTCCGGGGAAGTCCCTTGCCAAAAATTATTGTGCCGCCCGAGGATAAGAAGATACTCTCCTGACATCTCACGGGCGGTCTAGTTTTTACAGTTTTCGTATACGGCAAATGTTACGGCTAAGGTCTACATATTCATGCGGGAAGGGGCGACCACTCGTGGGGGGTGGTACTGGGTTGACTTACGATCCTAATTACTCGCGGTTATCTAAGTCCTCAGCGTCCGCTCAAGCTTCGATTTTCGTATACATGTTTACATTCATTATAGTCTTTTAAGTTGAAGATACAAACTCCTTGATCTTGGAAATCATTAAACAAATAATGCAAACACATAAGTTGTACAGTAATTTAGCCTAGTTTTGGTTATCTTATAACGCTTCATGGATCCGCCGGGAGAGTCCTTTCTTCCTGCCTACTCCCGATTCGACACGGACTCTACACGGACTCTACACGGACTCTACGCGGACTCTGCACGCACTCTGCACACCTAGCCCAGGTCGTGGGTGCCGCCGCAGTTGGCGTACCCGTAATCCGAAAAGCTTTCGAAGCTCTTCAACAAATTTCAGTATATTTGCTGCTGCTCGTAGTTGTTGTGGGCGGCGGCATGGTGGTGTAAATAGGACGGGATCGCCGTGGCATTCAGCTCGGAAGCCCGGCGGCGTAGCGCCGCGATGCTGTGTCCCCGCCACACGTCCTCATCGGTGGCGCCATCGGACGGTGACTGCATGGACTGATGGCAAAGCGGAAGTCCTGCGTCCTGCTGCTGCTGTGTGGGTGTCGGTGGCGCCATCTGCAGTTGGGTGAAAACAATTTAGCATGGTATTCGATACACAAACCGTTGTAGTAACTTACCTGCTGTTGTTGATGAGTTTGCTGCTGTTGCTGTTGGTGAGCCTGTTGTTGCTGCTGCTGTTGGTGAGACTGCTGCTGTTGCTGTTGTTGGTGACTCTGTTGTTGGTGCAGCGGCTGGAATTTAACAGTGAAATGTATGTAAAATTAGTATGGCTCTCGTTTTCTACATGTAAACTGTTAGTTTTGGAAGGACAAAATGGCCGAAGCTACGGGAACTAACAGAAAAGCTTTGGAATTTTTGTTTAACAACTAGAATTTCGAATAGAATATTTCAAATTTATTTAAATTTATTTAAATTAATTTTTATATTTATATATTTGTTCAATCTTCTTTAAGACTTTAAATTATGTGATAACAGTACAATTCGAACGCCAAAAATTTAAAATTGAACAAGAAATGATTCTGAATAGGATTAAACTTTTATTTTATTTAAAATCAGTGTAATAATTTTATTTGTTTAATTTTATTTTTGAAAAGTCACAAATCTAAATTTGAATAAAGCTATCAAATTTCAAGAATGCCCTAAAGTCAATCCTTTGTTTCGCTGCCTTTTCAACTTTTTATATTGAATTTAAATAACAATTTATTAATAACCAGCCCAGAAAAATAATTTTTCGTTTGCGAACAAAAGAAAAATACACAATTATCAAGATATACTTGAACTTTCATATGAATTATTTTCTTAAAATCGTATGTATTAAATACTTTGGGAAAGTTTTTGTCAGATTTCAAGGAAAAACTTACCATAGGCTCGCCATTGAGCTCATTTTGGCTGGCGCTCGGCTGTGCGGAAAGTGGCGGCGGGGTCACCGAGGAGCAGCTGTTCATGTTCGGCGGGGTGGTGGCGCTCGGCGAGCCACTCGGCCCACAGCTGACCCCGCCCACACTGTGCTGGTACATCATGGAGTCGCCTGTGGGAAAGAATAAGAATGATTGAGATTATCATAGGATAATATGTAATTTAATAATATTGAACACGATTCAAGAATCTGTCTCAACTTTTTATGTAAATATATGTATATATTCCAAGTAACTAAACAATGATCGGGGTTTAGGTAGAACTTAAGTAGTATTTATAAAAATTAAATCATTAAGAATCCTTGTGTAGTATCTATATATTAGTGTTAGTTTTATTTCTTATTTTATGAGGACCCCAGCTAAATATCTACTATTTGTTTATTATTATTACTATATTCTGCTACTGATATAAGTTACTGATGATATACAGACATAATTTCATGTCACTTCGTTGATATGTACATCATCACAAAAAGTTTAAAATCCCCAACTCGAAAAAAAGTGTAACAATGAAAAACTTTGCTGACAATCGATGGAGCCAGAGCCAAAGCCGGAGCCGAAAAATATATAAAAATCGACATGAACATGTCTCCAAAATGTCAATTAGCACAACTATACGAAACCAAACAAAGAAGACGAAAAAATGCCTTTGGGTATTCCTGAAAATTAAACGACTGCCTGTTAATTGATCGAGCAAACAGGCAGTCCGGGTATAATAAATGATACGATGCGATGCTGTGTTTTGGGGCTACCGAAAACAGTGTTATGAGTTCAAAGAAATGAGAAACGCCGGACTCTGGCGTCGTCGTCGTCATCGTCGTCGTGTTTGGTCAATTGTCAGCAGAACTGGAACTGAAACTGGAACTGGATCTCGATGGTCCCAAAAGCCAAGCAAATAACTTCGACCCAACAAAACGAGAATGAAAAAAAGTGTCAACGCTTGGCCTTTGTCAGTAGTCGCATGCAGATGGAAAATTTTTGGGCATGTGATCATCGGGGCGGGACTTTGGACTGAGAGGAGGAGGAGGAGGAGGAGGAGTCGGCGGAGATGGCCAAAACGACCTACCCAGAGCATTGAGGCCGTAATGCTGATAGCTGCCTGCTCCGAGGGCGGAGCCCATGTTAATGCCCGAGTTCAGGCCGCTGTTCAGTGAGGACGAGAGCGGCGAGGACTGATTTAGCTGGCCAAAGCCTGCGGGCCAAGTTAGTATATCCGAAATAGCAGCAGTTAGTAGGAATGACACGAGATACGAAAGTTAGTTGGGGCAATATTTTGATCGGGGGTATCACTCACCTGCCGTCATGGGATTAACACCCACGCTCCAACGATCGCCACCAAACATTCCGGTGCCGCAGAGCCCATCGCCCATGGCTATGTTGGTAATATTGGCCCCGAACGGTGGCAGACCATGCGAGGGCAGGAGGGCGCCCGGAGTGCGGAAAACATTTGTGGTCTTCTTGCGCTTCTTCCACTTGGCGCGTCGATTTTGGAACCAGACCTGCAATGAAAAAAATGACAATATATAATAATTTCAATGGAAGGATATACAAAATAGTTATCTATTAATTGATTTTAAAGTTAATGAGATATCTTTACTATTTTCCCATCGATTTCCTAGACTTCTTCTTGGCAACTGCCACTCCATTCCGGGAACCGCCTTCACAGAACCTTCTCCAACCCTTCGGGCTCCTTCCGCTGCTTCTGCTGCTGCCGCCTACGAACATGGTCTTAATCGAGATCAATTACCGCCGTGACAGTCAAAACATGTCTCGACACACGCACAGAAACAGATTTACATGCGCATAAATTCCGTATGTAAATTCCTCGGCTCCACATATTGGCGGAGAACAAGGCAAACACCGATTTCCACCGCCCAACCACTCCCTGCCCCCCGGTCCGAGGTCCAGCAATTTGGCATCTTTGGCCAGCGAATCCGAGTCCGGAGCTGGACCTTCGATACGCTTTTGTCTTAGGCTCGATGAGAGAGAGAGAGAAAGAGGGGTCGAGGACCGTGTCGGATGTGTTCGCTTCAAATTGGCATTTCCATATGCATAAGAACAACGCAGACATGTTGAGGTTTTGACATTTACAAGGCAGCACACAAGCACTACCTGCAGTCCCTTCCTCCTCCACTTGCGTCAGGCGAACGGGCCAAAAGTGTTGCCTACATTTTGGGGCCAAAAAGCTATGGAGGAACTGCAGGCTGCAAGAGATTCTCAGTTTTCAAATTCTCCGTTCTCGGTTCTCGGTTCTCGATTTTCCTTTCAACCTTTTTTTTGTTTATTTCTTTGGGCTATGCTACAGAAAAAAAAGGGGGAATAAAGTGCCAGCAGGTGAATGACTAGTGACATGAAAACGATTTTGCCAGGCCATCAGGCTTTCGCATCCACATCACTCGCAGGCGGGTTGACAACTTAACCGTGATTCTCACACACACATACACACACACAAACACCTCAGCCTGGCTATATAGTATTTATAAATCCCAGCATTTCGTGGCAAATCTTGAGCTGTCACCGACTGTCGGCGTCGACTGTTTCTGTCTGAGTGCGCCAGACTAATGGCAAAGGAATACGGCCAAAACAACAAGCCGGAAAGTGCGAGCCGGGGAGCAAAAGAGGCAGAAAGAAAAATGGCAAGTTTCCAGCAAAGTAACTTTGCTTGTAAGGCCTTCTGATGGCCTGATGGTCCCCAGTGGGTTTGTCATATGTCGGACATTGGCTGACGGAACCAGCTATAAACTGAGGGAAAATCCAGCTTAAAAGATGTTTAGATTAGAAAAAAACTAAATAGGATTGAAAAAAAATGATCATCAAATGTAAGAGACAACTTTAATAGTTTAATATTAATAATATACTTGTTTGTTGTTTGAGAAATCTATCTTAAATTGAGGGTAATACACTTTTTTTTGTGTGTACTGAACACAACTGGAACTATCTCAGGTTGTTTTGGAATATCGCAGCCTTCTCGATGTTACTCTAGGGACGCTAATGTGCCACAATGCAGGGGAGAGTCCTGGCAGCTAGGGGTAAAAGGATGAGGTTTTATGCTACATACATATATACATTTATATGTATGTGTATACCTCAAAAGGGGTTGGAGAAAAGTGCCGGCGACCTTGACTTGTTTATGTTTTTTACGTGTTTATGCGTCGCCCTATTCATTAACTTTTAATTTAATAATTTAAGGCAGTGTCTGACTGTCTGCCCTCGGTTCTCTCTCACTTCTTTCTGCCTCTCTTTCTCTCTCCCTCATTTATTCTGCCCCTTTTACTGTGTCCTGTATTTCTGTGTCCGTCTCTCTTGTGCTATATGTGTTGCCATCTCCTTTTGGCTTATTGAGTTCGCTAAATTAAATTTAGCTTACTGTTTTATTTTGCTAGCCACATTCGTGTGGAAGCATTTCCCTACACTCACAACACACAAACACACCCACACGCAGACTGCGAACGGAAATAGGAAGAAGCGGAAGAAGACATAGCGGAAAATGAGACGGAGGCAAAGGCAGCAAAAGCCAAAAGTCATTGCCTGCTTTTTTGGTCTAAGGCTGCGAGCCATTAAATTGGCATAACGTGCATGACGTGCACGGCACGTAAATAGGCGTTAAAATGTCGGTTAAACAATACATTTATTTTTTATGTCTGTATGTATATATGGTATATATTCACAATATTCGGGGGTGTGTCAGGCAATCCCAATTTCTATGTGCGTGTGTTTGTCTTTGATTTGTTTTTATTTCCGCTTCCTGCTGCCTCTTTTCGTTGCAACCGATTTCAAGCTTGAACCCAAAAAAAAACCCAATACATAAAAAAGAAGTCGAGAAATGCTCCTTATGTCGCGTTAAATTGTGTGTCTAACGGTAATTTTTTAAGCTTCACCCTTATGCATAAATTATAAGCTGCTGAGTGGCTGTCTTCAGCCCAAAAGTCAAATCATACGCATTTTTCCCATGTCCTTTTATCTTTTTAAAGGGTAGTTACTTAAGCGAAGGGTATATAGGATAATGTCTAAACTTGCAATAACAAATTTTACATATTTAATAATAAAATATTAATTAACATAGTAAAACCTAACATTATGAAACGTTTCTGTCGTACTGTCTTCATTCTAGAAATAATTCAAATGATTTAAATTAATATTCTTCCTTTCTAAAGTACTTAAAGAATGAAGTTAAATTTAAATTAAAATATAAATTAAATCTAAACTTAAAGGAAACTAACTTCGGTCAAAGTCTATATATTCTAGCAGTTTGCTATTGAATTAAAGAATCTAAACGAAAATCTATCATAACTAAGCTTAAAATATCCGTATTCCGTGACCCAAAATTGTAATATGATAAATATATCGACAAATCAAAGTTTCAAAATCTTATAACTAAGTCAAAAATACGTTAGTTTTAATTCGGAAAGCGGTTCTATATTAGTTTTTATCAAGTTAATAAATCTGAATTCTTAATTTAGAATTTTAAAACATTAAATTTTTTGTCAATTTTTGACAATTTTAACGATGTAACCCCTTATAAAATTTTGAAAAATGTGGAAAAAATGTATTTTCTTTCCTTAATGCCTGGAAAGATTCGCCTGTTGATGCTGATCAAGAATATATATAATTTATAGGGTCGGAAACGACTCCTTCACAGCATTACAAGCTTCTGACTAAAATTATAATACCCCTTAAAGGATATAAAAGTGACAAAGGTAAAAAGTATCCTTTCCCATTCAAGCTCTGCTGTGTTTACAAAAAAACCTTCGATCTGCAAACTGCACATAAAAAACAGAAGTCAAACCAAAAATCGGCGGGCCACAAAATTTTAGCCATATGTTTCATACAAAAGCATTTTCATGTTTGGACTTTTAATTTTCACTTCTCGACTGACACCAACAAAAGCAGCAACAAAGAAGAGTCACCACCGGCAAAGGCAAACAACAACACAGTGAACAGGGGCAGGGGGAAGGGTAGGAAAAACTGTTGCAAATAATAAATGAGTCAAGTTCATGAAAAAGCAATTTCTTGTGGCAGGCCGCAGATATTAGCACCCGAAACCGGGACCAGAGCCAGATCCAGATCCAGAAATGCTCACGAGGGGCGAGCCGGCGAGCAAATGGAAGCAGAAGTCAGAAATTTAGTATCGGCCAAATTACACGGCCGGGGGAACTGAACTGCGGCTGGAAATGGGATAACAAGTGATTTGCTTTGATTTTATGGGCTGGTGGATGGTCCTCGCTTCCGGGGGTGTTGCAGGATCTATGGCAGGACGAGTCCTGGGGTGGGTGCTAACGGTGGGCTAACGACTTTTTATTATGAACCTGTTTATTGTGTCATCCTCACCCCGCTTATGATTGCATTTCCGTGCCATAATGGTGTGTCATATATATCCGAAATCCCCCCTTGTTTACGATATCCTCCGCCCGGTTCGTTATGCAACATTAATTGCACATTATGCCTAATGGCTGATTAAACAGCTGTAAGGATAATACGGGTACGAAGGAGTCTCGCCAGCGAGAGAAAAATCAGTATCGCTGCCAACATAGAAATGCACTTTGCCCCGAGAGCCGCACTTCAAAAGCCAATTTCAAAATTATCAATCAGAGGCCGGCCAGAGAGCGAGTCGCGGAGAATTGCAATCAAAATTCGATTAGCCTGCAATGCAAATATTATTTGCAGAGCTAGTCGATGGTACACAGTACACGGAACTCGGCACAGGTGGGACAGGTGGTCGGACGGTGTCTCTTAATAAACGCTTGATTGGCAAAAGCCAGAAAGTGCAATAATATTTTTCGGCTCGTTTGCGTTGACAATTTTTGCTGGTCCTGTCGATTGTAGATTGGTTATTGCATCGCTCTCCCTGCTCCGCTCTCTGCCCTTGTTTCGGGGCATAATCAAAAATCAATTGGCCAGGTTATTGCTTTTCCTTGAACCCCCCTCTTGGTAGGATGTTCTGCCCTGAGGCTGCCAGGCAACCGAAATATAAAATGGCCACTCAACAAAAGTCCACACCAAACTGTCCCCTGACTGCTGGCCTTTGATGTCGTCCTGCCCCAAAGTCCTTGGTGCTTGTTTTTCCTTCGAGTTGCCTTCATCTTCAGCTTGAGCATCTTTTTATTATCATTATTGGTCCTATCTCGGCTTTCATATCTTCCGACTGGGACTCCGACTCCGGGCCCTGAGTGGTTTATGGAAATCGCTTTTCGGCCAATATCTTTTCATTCTCGAGCATATAAAAAATGCGTATAAATTCATAAAATGCCGTCTCGACTTCTGCTCCACCTCCCTCAACACTCTTCAACACACACACACACACAAATACAAATGCCAGTCGATTTATTTTATGTTATCCTTTAAATCCTGCTTTACGAGTCAGCCCCAGCAACACTTGCCGCTGGCCCAGGCACCAAACCCACCCACAAACCCCGGGGATTGGAGCTCCAACCCGCCGAGACCGAGTCCACTACGGCCGTCTCTCTCTCACACCACCAGCAGCCCACTGTAGCCGTCTCTTTCCTTGCTTTTGGAGAAATGTGTCGCACTGGCCTTTGATAGACATCATCAAATCGCTTCTTTGGGGGTTGCCCAGGGAGCAGGCTCTGCTCTGATTTCCCTGATTTATGAAATAGTTTTTGATATATTTGGTTCTGTTTTACTTTTTTTAAGATTTCTGGGTTTGGTGCCTTTCATTTTGTTATCCTTTTGTGGGTTGCCGGGGCAACTGCAGTCACTTTTATAGAAGCTGGAATCTGGGGCTGGGGCTACACGGAGGCTGGCCAATGCAACCCCCGAAAATTTGGAATGTTTCATTGCATTCGTGGAGCATGCGCAGCACCAGAGGCTGCTCCCCTTGGATTCGCTTTGTTCCATCTTTGCCAAGTTGTTCAACCTTTTCCTTTTTTTTTTCCTGAGCTTTTTTTTTGTCGTTGGGTCGTGGGGACTCTTGTCATTCTATCAATGGCAGCGGCATTTGGAGCAGCTTATCCGAGCTCCATCGCTTCACCCCTGCCAACCGTCCGGCACTTTGGCACGCCATTTTCACACAAACATTTCAATGAAAAGTATCAACGAAATTGCTTTCGGAATTGCTTCATATGCCATAAACAGAATGCGTGCCAGATTTCCTTGATGCTCTTTATGTGCATTTTATGGAGAACCCGTACCCGAACCCGAGCCCGGACTCCACCTCCTTTGTCGCTCCCTACTCCGTCTGGCTTTTATTTTTTTAAAGCTCTCGCTGAATTTAGCCCGCCACAGGACCCTCCTTCTTTTGTGCTGTTTGCTGCATATTTTCGTTTTGGTATTTCAATTAAAGTTTAATTAAAATTTGCGATGCCATGGTTATATCAGACGCGACCCAGTCGCCTTTTGGCCCGACTCGACTTCGAGTGCTTCGCTGGAAAGTACTCGTTACAATGTCCCCAGCTCCTTGACCCCCTCTGCCCACGTGCGTTTTTAATAAAGATGCTCACTTTTTATGAGAATATTTCGTCTAATTTTCACAAAATATTCGGATATTGTGCCTGGGAGTCACATGGTCTGGCTAATATCCCTGCTTCCACTCGTTTCCCACAACCCCGCTCCTGGCAGGAGCAGTCAGTGGACTATTATTAGAGGGGCATTAAGCGGCTCAGCAAATAAATTAGTTCTGTCTGAAGTCGAGGCAATAATTTATCAGCGCTCACAGTGGGAAGGCCAAGAGGATGGGCCAGGGATTGGATGGCCTCGCAAGGACCTCGCCTGTGGCTTAGACCAATCGATTTTCCCTATGCTCGACGAAGCGTCAAGAGTTGTGATTTTTTATCGAGAAAATATGTAGTGTGGAGCCTTGGGTTCATGGATTACGATGTTGCAATATCAAGAACTTAAATTAAAAAATTAAATTTAAGCATTTAAAGAACAAATAACTTACTATATACATTGCAACATTAATTAAAATAGCGAAGAATCCGTAACTGCTTTAAAATTTTCGGTAAGATTTTAAAGTTTATTCTTTTTTTATACGAAAACCTGGGGCTTTAATGTTCTATTCATGGCATTCATATAACACCAAGAAATCCTAAACTATGTATGTGTCTCTTATATTAATTCAATATTTTTACATATTAATTTTTTGGGTAAATCAAAGTTTTTGAAATATCATAACTATGCCAAAATTGAATTAATTTCAATTCGGAAAGCTGTTCTATGCTAGTTTTTGTAGGGCTAACTAATCAGCATACTGAGTTTTTCAATTTAAAAATTCAATTTTTCGTCAAAATTTGAAAATTTTGAACAAATTTTAAAAATTTATTTTTTGACCGGACTTGGCTAAATCGACTCAGCTATTAATGATGATCAAACATATACTATATGATTTATAGGGTCGGAAATGACTTATTCACTGATTTTGATTAACACTATAATATAATAAGGGTATTTGTAATTAGTTTTTTTTAGAAAAGGCGCAAAGTAGAGGTGTTCATGAATAAATTCGAAAAGATAAGAACAGTTCTAAAAGCTCTTATAAAAATAAAAGAAGGAGAATATCTGTTTTAGTGGAAAACAAATCCTAATGGTTGCTTAGAATCATTTTTATTTAAAGATTTCATTACGCAAAGGTTGCCAAGGTTGATCCTCTCCCCGTTATGATCCTAGACCAGGTTTCCAGGCAAATTAATCATGTGAGAAATTCATTTAGTGCACTGGCACACACCCATCCATACACACTTGCCACGTGCTGGGCCGTCGCTCGCCTTGGCCTCTGCCCCCGGCCCTGTGACCCCCAACCCCGTTGCAACAATTTAATAAACAAACCAATAAATGCTGCAAACATTCAACACAAAGCCAAAGCAGTGATTTTGACAATGCCGCATCATGATAAGTCAATTCCGTGGGCCATCTTCTGGGCCATCCCCCCCGGACATCGAAGGGATCCGCTCCCCCGCGGAGATGTCACGTGTGACAAACAGATTGTCCTTGGGCAAATTGTCCAATTGCCGCCCACCGAGGGGGGAGGCAAGGCGGTGTGAAAACACACAAATTAACAACTTTCGGAGGGGTACCTCCCGCTGGTCTCTGCTATTCTAATTTACCCAAAGTCGGAAAATCGGATTAGGATTAGGGCGCTGGCCTAAACTGATGCTCCTTGGCACTGACTTTTATTTTTATTAAATTATATTTACCATAAATGCTGCTCCCTGGCAGCAGCACACACGCTCAGCCAGTCGGCACTACGTGAGCCTCATAACTTATGCACCTGTCTTCCTGCCTACCAAAGAACCCACATTCCCGGCTAATATATACTAAATATATGAAAACTGGCTGCGAGCTCGCTTTTTCTGGGGGCTAATATGGACAAGCGTTTTTCGGGCATTTATAGTAGAGGCGAGGGTCGGATCTGGGATGTCGGCTGTCTTTATGCCGTCATTAGCTGCAAATCCTTGTAGATTGATTTAGGGCCAGACGTGTGTGTGCATATCGAATGAAGGTCCGACCTCATATAGGTACGATAGAGTGTGAAAATTTCGAAGCTCTAAATGTTTTATTTCGCCTTCGACTGCGAACTTAATTTATATGCTAATTTTATTAAACAGCAATCCCAAAACTAATCCAACGGCCTGACATCCTCTAAGCCGCAACGACAACGCAAAATCAAGCATTAAAACAGCAGGACAACGACACTGTCGGCGGAGGCGGAAAAAAAAGCAAAGAGAAAAGCCGACGGCAGTTCTAACACGGAGTTCCACACCCCGGAGATCCATCCCAACCCCCCGCATGCAGCTTCTACCCCCGGCAGGTGATTGCATTGTTCTTTTGGACAACCGGATGCGGGGCGGGGGTAGTGGTTGGAAAAACAGCATTAACGGGCAACACTGATACGCAATTATTAAAACAATTTATCAAAGTAGGACACATCCGGCACAGGGCACGAGCGTCGGCTGGATCATCATGAAGGTGTCCTCGCCTGAGTTGCTCACTCATGGCTAATTGTTTTAGCCAGAGCAGCCAGAGCGGAGAGTATGGGCCAATAAGCCAAAGTTTTTGGCATTCATTTCCACCGCAAAACAATTCTCGCACTCAAAGGACAAGGCGCAGTCGCTGCCAGGCGGAAGCGGAAGCTTAAACACAAATTTAATGAAGCAGTAAATTCGATTGTCGCATAAACAAAGCCCGCCCGCATGCAAAAAGGACCTTCGGGGGTGGAGGTGGGCGGTGTGCCGGTGCCGAAAGAGAGACAAGGATAATGGCAGCGATGGCACAGGGGAGCTGTGCCAGCCACAAAAGGATAATGCCCATTGTGTGCTCCTGTGTGAGTGTGAAACTTTTGCAGGCGCAAAGGAGGGGCCTGCGAGGGCGTGTGGCTGGATGCCCGACTAAATGTGACTTTATGTGCTTTAATAAAGTATAATTTTGGGCGCTTAAATGGCGTTCGGCGGCGCCGGCTTTCAGCCCAGCCCCAGAGCCGAGCCTCGTAAACTGTTGCAGTCCGGGGAAAGTCAGAACCCCACAATGTCTCTATCCTCTGCAGCCGGAAAGCCCCCAAATCCTAAAAACGTCCAATGCGGTTGTGTGCAACACAAGTGAAATGTCATGTCGTCCCTAAAACGAACTAAACCCAAAATTCCGACAGCTCCGACCACTGACAACTGTCGTGCCGCAGGACAAAACCACGCAGAGTTCAACGAAAGAGCCAGGCATACTGCGGTCAAAGTCCTAATGGCTACTTTAATGAACCAAATCAAGAATTTAGTTGAAACAAAGTTATATATAATATGATAAAAAGATAAAATTAATTATTTACAAGACCTATATGAACCTGGAGTCCTTATCGCTGCCGAACTAACCCTATTGCTGCAGCTTTACTACTCTTAAGTCTATAAAATGGCTTTAGTTCAAAGTAAATTTCCTAAAATTCTATATGACGCGTGTTATGCATCTTATTAGCTGTAGACTCACCTGAACACGGGACTCGGTGAGACCGATCCGCATGGCAATCTCCTCGCGCATAAAGATGTCCGGATAGTGGGTCTTCGAGAAGCAGCGCTCCAGCTCATTCAACTGGGCGGGCGTGAAGCGGGTGCGGTGGCGCTTCTGCTTGTTTTTGTCCAGGTGCTGGAAGAGAGAGACACAGCCAAGGTGGCACAGAGACCGATGAGAGATGGGACCACAGCGGAGGATCTTAGGACACAGAAGAACTGAACTACCGGACTAGGAATGCATTCTAGGCACTACAGATTACAAACAGATTACACACTATATAGACTACAGATTAGGGGAAAATATAGTTAGACTAGGATAGAGGAGTTCTACGGTTCTAAGTATGGAAATCAAAGTACACTTACTTTTGTTTATAGAGTACGTATATGATTCATAGAGTACAATATGATTCATGGCACATTTAATTAGGTTCATTACACAATTCAGAACACAAACATTCACGTTTTTGGAAACAGATTTTCGTTTCGGATTGAATTTCGGATCGAATTGGTTTGTATTTATGGATTTTGTTGTTTTTTTTTTTTTTTGGATTTTTGGCATAGCAGAGTAGTGTTTGAAGGAAAAAATAAACATCGAAAAGAACATGGATTATTAAAAAAGTTTCGTATTAACTAAGCGCTATATTATCTTTCTCCCTGCGGCTGTTTCTTTTACAATCTCCTTTCATTTATCTCTATCTCTCTTTATAGCGCTGGCCTGCTCACCTGATCCTGTTGCTGCATGTTGTTGTTGTTGCTGCTGCCGTTGTTGTTACTGTTGCCGTTGCCGCTGCCTCCACTTCCGTTTCCGGCGTTCAGCGCATTGGAGTTGTCGCACAATCCACCGGAGATATGCAGGCGAGCCACTCCCCCGCCAACTGGACCCACACCGCCACCAGAGCCACCGCCGCCGGCTCCACCGCCCAAGTCGGCCAAGTTCGGACCCACGGGCAGTTGGCCAAAACTGTTGACGCCCGCGTGAAGCGCCGTTAACGCGGCCTTTGGCAGATCACAATCCTTGGGACCTATTTTAAGGTAACGTAAACGTTTTGATTATTATTATTATCCTTAATATTTTGCATTTATTATGTTTGATATATTTATCTTTTATAAAAGTTAATTGTTTTAGATACATAATTGATTAGACATTGATTGTAGTGCTGAGAGTGTGTAATTTCAAACGATTTTATTTATTTCATTTTGAAGATATTAACGATTGGTTAACCTTATAAAATCGAAGACAGAGAAGCTTTCCGAATTTAAATTAATATAATTATTGCTTTGTTGCAATCCACTTTATATCCGGTTTCGATTGCAATTTGCAAATATATTCTACGGTCTTTCAATGTTAGTTTCCTTTGCTGTTTCGGTTTAAATTATTGATTTCACTGCTTTCGCAATTGAAACTTAAAAGGCATCATTACTTTTCTGACTTTTTCTCAGTTAGCTTGTGAAAATCTTTCAAACATCTACTCGTCAGAGTTCAGCTCCCATATCGGCTTTTTAACATTTACAATTAACAATGCTTATTCACATTGTCAATTGGTGCTTAAATTGCATTGTCTTCAGTATAAGCTGCATCGTTTGGAGTATTTGTAAAGTATTCTTGGTAAACTTGGCCTTTATATTGATGGTACTTGCCGTGAAATACACTTGGACCAAAGGTTCCCCGAAGCCTGAAGACTCTAAGAAGATAACCCAATGCGATAATAAACGTAAGTGAACTTGAGCTTTTGGGTTTCCTTTAATGAGCTGGTAAACTCCACGAAAATTCACAGATTCAATTAAATTCACAAGTACCCGGCACACACACATCCACGATGATGTTGGTAAATATTGTTGAATTGTTGTTGAAAACGAAGATGAGTTACAAACTAAAGTACGCAATCACTTGTTCCGCGTTTGTCTTTAATTAAGGTGGAGGTGAGAGCGAACTGGGACCGGTGAGCTAACGACCTAGAGGATTGCTCGCACCGAACTGCGGCGATCGGATAAATTGAATTTTTCAACAACCTGTCATTCAGAAGGAAAAAGATGCCAAAAACAGTAATATACGCGAGATGAGCGAGAGAGAGAGAGAGAGAAAGAGAGCACATACAGATGCAGATACAAAAACCTGAGCTACAGATACAGATACAAAACCGAGGGGCAGAGTGGGAGAGAGCAAGAGAGAGAGAGTGCTAACCCTTTTCATTGAATACAGAGGGAGAAATAATTGAGTGTTGAGTCTTGCCTATTCTATATATAATTGTTGAATTTTGTATATTTACAACTTTGAGCATTTTAACCAAATAATAAAATAGAGTTTACAAAGGTATCTTCTTTAGGAAGTACTCGAACTTTAGAAAATATAGAATGGTTGTATCCTTTCCCCTTTTATTAATTTTATTCGAAATCTTTCTTACTCCTGATTTTCTCTCTCTGTACCTTTCGGCATCACTTGACTACGTAACGTATTTTTGTTTTATTTCCATTTTATTTGTACGTGTATATCACGTCAGTTGTGGGATGGGATTGGTAGTGGGAATGGAAATGGGAATGGAAATGGGAATGGGAATGGGACTCCGACTTGGATTCACGGGAGAGTCATCTTCATCGTACGCCTGGAATTTTTAACATGTACGTGCGAGAGAGACTCCGGGGCTCAACTCTTTCTACGCGATTCCCTTTGTTGTTGCTCAACTGTTGCTACAAGTCAAACATTTACTCATCGCCAGTGGATGCGAACTCTCGTCTCCGTCCGTCGTCAGTCGTAACCTTTTGGGGGTCGGGGATCGGGTATCGGGGCTAGGGATGCTGTCATGTTGGCCATTCGATTTTGGGCCCAAAGTGAAGGTGTAGGCGGTGGACAATTGCTCACTGCCATTTCCTTTGAAAGCGAGTCCAAAATGCAAATCGCCGCTAAGCAGGAAAACCAGCTTCCCTTGCTCCCGAATCCTCCGCGAAAACAATTTTCGTTTCAATTTCATCTTAGGTAGAGAGACACTCTCGATTGCCGACTTTGATGTCGTTGGTGTTGGCGGCTCTCAATGATTTTTATTGTTTTCGAGATGGACTTGTTAAAATTTCGGCAAAGATCAGAGGCGGAGATCCGGAGCGGTATTCGGTATCAGGGCCACCGGTGAACAGGTGAACAGGTGAACGAGTGCAGCGCAAGCGACGCCACATAAAATCATAAATATAAATATCAACAAATAAAAGATATGGGAGTTCCTACAAGCGACATTCCCTATAACTGGCTCCGGTTGTTGCCGCTGCCCAGTCGCGTTTTTTAAAGCGCTGCCCGGAAAGTGCTAATTTTTACACATACACCCAGTGCGGCTACTGTTCATTAGCGATTTTCAGATGGTGACGTCCCCAATCGGGACCACAGCCCCCTCAGTCACCTCAGTCCCCTCTGGGTCTCTGGGGTAGATTTAAACCTGCAACTGTGGCAAACTGTAGCAACGCCTGCCACATCATTGACATATTTTTAGAGCGTTACGCAGCACGCATATATTGGAGGCTAAAGATATGCGATCCGAAAGATTGAGGGAGCACATCGACACTCTGCTCGTGATTAGTAAATTTAAGGCGCGGTGTTAGGTGCGATATCTCCATCGACACTCTATCTCTCTCTCCCCCGGGCTAGAAATTCACGCTCGATGGCCACATCTCAAACATGGACTCTGGGAGATACTAGACTTGGCCAACGTTGTCCGGTCCGTTGCTCCAAAGAAGTGCGACTTTTAACATCCAACTGTTCCCGCTTCCTTCTGTTTTCCGTTTTCTGTTTTCTGTTTTCTCAAATCAAAGCCACACACATCCACAGCGTGTGTGTTGTGTGTAGTGTGTAGTATGTGCGCGGAGAGTGTTTTGGCCACGTTTGGGAGCCATAAAATAGCGCCACTTCTCGAAATCGCACTTGACTGGCAATGGCCATGGTCCAGGCCCCAGCTCTGTATGTCGTAGCTAGCAGCTAGTTAGTTAGTTGGTCTAACTTTGATTTTTTCACCTCGCCTTTTACAGTTGTAACACATAAATATTAAAAAGCAGCAGCCCTAACTGTTCATTGTGTATGCAGATCAAGGTGATGCCATTCCAGTGGCTTCATTCAGTGCAAATATCGCATTAAGTTCAAATTTGTGCACATTATTGCGATTTTATCTTTAGCACTTGATCGGGTTTAAAGGGAAATCTACTATGATTTCAGCCTAAAAGCTTATGTTAATCTATTAATATATTTAATTGCAGTTTAATGAATGCTATGTAAATATTAAAGCCTTGACTATGTTGAAGTTCATTAAGTGATTGATTTGTATTTGCAAAGAAAGTTTTCACTTATTTATTTCAAGATATTTAAGATTCAAAGTCTATCTTGTACCTTTCATTAGTTTATTAAAATCTTTGATATCAGAGATTGTAGAATTTAATGTTTTTATAATGTTCTTTAGGTATCTACTACCAACACAAGGGAAACTTATTTAGATGTACCAAAGGAAAATATATTCTAATTCTATTCTAATTCTTTACACCTATATTTGATAAGGAAATTAATCAGGATAGATAGAGGATAAACCTTCCGTCATCAAAAACAGAAAAGAGCTTCATCTCTATTATACATTTATCAGATATCATTATCTTGCATCATAATTATCCCAAAAATGCAATGTAAAATATTTTATCAAAACTTTCCGGAGAACCACAAAATTTACTCAAAAACATGTTCTCCCGAATCATTACAACGCGACCTAATGGGGCATAATTTTGTAATCTATCATCGTAATTTAGTTAACCCGCCATTTGCAACCATCAGAGAGATAGAGAAAGTTGCACTGGCATTAATACAAAACTGTAAACATTGCAGGACGCCCACGAAAACCGACAAAACAGACGCGGACCATGAGATACAGAGATACATTTACATCTGGCCTGAAGCGGACATTTTAGTTGGCCTGGCCAGGTCGGGCTGGGCTGGGCGAGAAAGAGGAGCGAAACGAAATGAAAACCGCACAAAGCGATTAATTAATTAAAATTGGCAAACATGAATTTATCGCGCAAGCAATTTGCACAATTTGCGCAAATCAGTTTGTCTGTTTTTGGAAGCGAACGCGACTATCTCCCGGAAAATGTATGCATCTGGCCAGGGCACGCAAAGTCCAGGATGCGCCGGATGAGGACTTTCCCAGGAGCAGGGTGGATGCACCCAGTCGTCAGTTGCATGTGCAATGTGCATAATTATTGAAATTTGGAAATTGTGCGGTTTTTAGCAGGCGCCTAACCATAGGACATATAGCACATATAGACCCCGGGTCCGGGTCCGGGTTCGGATCGTCTGACTGGAATCTAGGCTGCTCCAACAACTAACCGCAACAGGGAACAGAATCCGCAGCAACCGCAAAACATTTCAATGCACAACGGATACGGGATAGGGGTCTGGAAATGGGCGTTTTGTGGGGGTTAAAGCACATATTTCACTAGCGTAGGCCACCGCAAAAATGCCAATGCACAAAGCTGGGATACTTGGACCGGGACGCCAACGAGGAGGGGGCTTGTGCAAATTACAAATGCAATCGTGAAATTAATTTAATTAATGCGAGGCTCACGAAAAAGCGTCCGAAAAAGACCGACAGCGGAATTAAATGCCATTCGAGTTGCGTTCCTCGCGATTCATGCAAATTAAGCATTAGTAACCGGGATTCGGAAAGTTCTGCCATTTCTTTTGCATGCAAATTGCTCTTAATTGTATGGGGCGCTCCACTCTTTCCCCCGATATGCAAATGTTTTCGGTGCCTCTTCTTGTTGCTGTTGTTTGTTCTTGTTATTTTGCGCGAAACTCGGAAAAAGGCTTACGAAATTTATTATGGCAGACTCCGACACTGCAGGCAGGATTTGGGCAAAGGATTCTGCACTGCGAGTCATTGAAATTTATAGTTTTCACGCTAGGAGGAGTCCTGGTGTTACTTTAAGCTGGGCCCCCAAAAAACTTTAAAACCTAACTTTGACGGTGGAGTATAAAACCTTTAACAAATGATTGCGCATTCGATTTA